GAGCACCTTCTTCTGCTCCATGTGTCTGGAGAATGGGTGAGAATGAGGCCAGTGTAGAACTTTATTTTGTTTCCTTGCCTTCTCCGTATTCTCTGGACCGTTTCCCTTGGCCTTTGCCTGCCTCGGATGGCCGGTACAGCGAAGCTGAGGGTGACCCTTTGCTCAGCACTAATAAATCTCTCTATTTTTCTATGCCGGCCGGGTGGCAGCTGTGCAGCAGCTGGGGCCGCGGCTGCCCCGTGCTGGGTGTAGCGGGGCAGGGAGCACGGGGGCCGTTGCTGCCCCCTCGCAGCCTGACGCAGGGGACTGCGCCACTTCCCTCCCCCAAAGCCCTTTTCCTTCCCGACCTCTGCGGCGCCGGGAGGCCCTGAGCCCAGCGGCCCGGCCGGCTGCAGAGCGCAGGGCGGCTCCGGGGGTCCCGTCCCTCTCCGCGTGCCCCGGGGCTGCTGTCGCTGCCTCCTCGCGCCCCCTCACTCCTGCTCCAGGGGTGGCAGTTGGCGCCTGCCCTCGGCCACCGCTGCCTCCTTAAGAACCCCCCACGTCCTTAATACCCAGTTAAAAATACCGCAGCGAGCAGCTGTGAGCAGAAATGGGTGAGAATGAGGCCAGAAYGCCGAGGCTTAAGAGCTTAGGGTGTCTGGGAGCTGCCAGTGCCCTGGGGACCGCGCGGGGGTCTGTGCTGTGGGCACCCAGCCCGGGTCCTGGGGAGGCGGGTGGCAGTGGCAGCACCCTAGGGAGGCGGCGGGGGACGGGGGTGTCCCCAGCAGCCCCGCGCACCGGGGCCCCGCTCCACAAGGGCCTTATCGGCCGGGCCGGAGCCGCCTGCGCCGCGCGATAGCCGGGCTGCGCCCCGCGATAAGGGAGGCGCCTGCCGGGATAAGCGCCCGCGGGGGGGGCACCTCGCGGGCACCCCCATCCACACAGCGCCCGGGCTGTGGCCCAGGAACCCCCGCGGACGGGAGTGCCCGTGTCCCGAGTGGGAGCAGCTCCTCGCCCGTGTCCCAGGCGGGAGCAGCTCCTCGCCCGTGTCCGGCGGCGCTCCGAGCCCGGCCGCTGCTGAGCCCTCCGCCTGGCTCCGCGCGGCTCAGCTCGGGGCTGCTGCGCGGGGCCCATAAGGCCTCGCCCCGYGCTCTCCGGAGACTGGGGGTTCTGRGCAGAGAAGTTCCACTCTAGGGCGAGCGGGRCCGGGGTGCCCCGAATTTCTCTCTTTTCCCCAAAATGTTCACCCCTCCTCTGCAGTGCCCCGGGAAGCACCCRGGATACCTCTGGGTACATCTGGAGGAGGAGGGGGCCATGGGGAACCCCTGGCATCAGGTGCTCCTTATATGGAGTGGTGATGTCACAGCAGCGCAATGACACAAGCCGCCTCGCCCCCCCC